TTCTGGATGTGAATAGGCGTGTAGTGGTGTCCCTGCTTCACCATGACATGAACTGATCCGACGCCTTTGCTCTTTACAACCCTGTTGTCTCCAAGCACAACATCCCTCGGGTCACCGTAGTCGATTGCTTTAAACACTGAGATGTCGTTGCAGAGATGATAGCAAGTCCCAGAGTCAACAATCCAGTCTGTACCGCAATCTCCAAAGCCTAGACTCTTCTGACCTCGTGCTTCACTTTCTTTTTCAGCCACGACAAATAAACGGGCTACTGTGCCGTAACCCTGATCACCAGGCTCACTGCTTGACAAAGACTGCATGTTCTGAGAAAGATTTCCTCGTTTCTTGTCAGACAGAAACTTCCTACAGTCTCTCTTCCAATGTCTAAGCCTTCCACAGTAAAGGCATTTGTCGTTCCTACGATTTCTCTTGTTGTGTCCCTTATGACCATGGCTGTGGACATCATGAGAATGACCAGTAAGTAGCGCTTTTGACACACCTTTGACAATACCTGAGGTTTCTGAGAGTGCCTGCCTTTTTGCTTCCTCGTGGAGCAATTTCGCTTTCACATCTGTGAGACTCAGATTAGATTCCCTAGTTTCCAAGGCAGTGACCAAGTTACTGTACTCCTCTGGCAAACTGCTCAAAAGAGTCATAATGATGTCATCCTCCTCGAGTTTCGAACCAGCGGCCTCAAGCCGCCTAGCCAGTGTTTCCATAGTTGAGATATGATCTAGCATCTTGGAGGAACCATCCATCCTCAGCTTAAAGAACTTTTGACGACGAAATAGCTTGTTTGAAATCCCAGACTTTTCATTGATAGTCTCAAGCATATTCCACACTTCCTTGGCTGTCTTACAGTCCATGGTCAAAGCCACATGTTCGTCAGTCAAACCGCTTGTGATGATTCGTCGAGCTTTGACATCATCTTTCCTAGGCCTTGACAACACGGGTGTCTCACTAACAGCGTCCGACGCCATACCGGCAGAGGCAGTGGGAGATCCAACTCCAAATCCTAGAACAACAACATCCCAGACATCTGCATCCTGCAGTACCAGCGTAATGCGATGTTTCCAAACGTGAAAATTATTCCCGTCGAATTTCGGAATCAACAACTTCTTAAAGTCACTCTGATCTGCCATTGTTCAGCGCTTCTGGGACCAAAACCTATGGGAAGGAGATGGGCAGATGTGGAATAGGCACAAGAAGTTAGAATGAGACAGGAAGACTGCAAGGTTGAAGAGCAGTGTGTTGTATGTTCATTCTGTTGAAAGCTATCCGCAACCATCCCTACTTATATCGCTACTGCAGAGCTACTGCATTCCTAATGTTTCAGCTAGGTATCTCCCAAAAACGATGCCCACTCAAATGATACTGTATTTGGCGCATATGCCACATATCTGATATCAGCCCTGAATTGTCATATTTCCATCTCTATAATTGCAAGTCTGATTATCCATATCGATTTCCTTTTGTGGATTCCATGCGAGCGGTGCAACACTGCCTCCCTTTTTGCAGACGGAGACAGTTTTATAACACACCCCGCGCCATATAAACCGCGCCCCCCACGCGCACCTACCCCCCGCATCCCCGCCCCATCCGCCTCGCCCCGCACCACCATGGCTCCCACCGCCCTCGTCTCCCTGCTACTGCTGCTACCGCTGGCCCTAGCGCAGCTCCCGCCGCCCATCCCCATACGGGACCTGACGTGCCAGGTGGGCGGCTTCGCCCCCGCCCGCCCGTGCGCGTCGGGCACCTGCGTCCTCACCTCCTTCGGGAACCCTGCCGTGGACCTTCCGCGCAGCGGCATCTGCCGCTCGCTTCCGCGCCCGCCGCCGGCCTGCACGGTCGCGCTGTGCTCCCGGCGCGGCGGCGGCGCCGTGTGCGCCGTCACCACGCCCACCCGCCTCGTCGCCACGTGC